GGTAGTCGGCATCATCAATGAGTTTTTCCATTCTTCGCACCAAGCTACGAACTCGTCAAAGAAACTGCAATCATACCAGAGGCCACACCATCTTGGTCTTCATATCTTCAATCTATTCTAATTTTGTTAGGACTTCGTTAACTTTCAGTACATCTACTTTATGGATCATTTAAGTTGTTACTTATAATAGTTGAGTAGCCTTAGTTATCTTTTACGAAAATAGTTGGCATAACATTTATATTAAGTGGCCTAAAATATGAGCTATAAATTACTGGGCCTATTGTATTCCTAAGATATGAAACAAGCTTGTGGTGAATGTGTTATTTTGACATAAATGCTTATTCCAAACAATGACTAACCATAGGCAGTAAGTATCATAGGTCATATGCCGTGTTAAGGCACCGTTAATTGAATTTTCCCACTATGAACAAATTTTCTTTCGTATGACATTGGATTTTCCTTGCCTCTGAAGAGGCTTAGATTTCATCTGGATATCACCAGCACTCTCAGCTATCAGCCCTTCATCATCTTAGTTGATTCAGAATGACTACAGCTCATATTCAAGAAATTCCTATTGGGTCAGAACCTACTCATTTTGATTATAACCCTGTGGGAGATAATGTCGTGATATGTGCTCTGCACATTTATGCTACAATAGGGCTGGATAGAAAATTAAGCAACCACGCAAATATTTTCTGCAGCTGGAAGGGATTGCTTATACGGGTGAAGAACACTTGGCAGAATAAGATTTAAACTAAGAACATTATATCAGAAAATGTGGGAGGAGACCAGGATCAAGCAAATAAAATATCTACGACATGATTATTTCAAATTAGGAATTATCAGTTTCAGTGATAAATAATAATGCCCATTTAGTTAGTCAATTCTAACTCTTTACGGATACTATCAGAGGCATGAAATTTTGTCTCTGCTCTTAGCCTCTTCAGAGAAGCTCTAACTAGTATTCACTTAGTCATATTGCTAACACAGCACTATGAGCACACATAATTGTTTATATTAACTCTTGCTGAGAAATTGTCCCTTAGCATAGGTGATTATGGCTGATGTACCTTCTGCAGCACAATTTATCTCATCCTCTTTATTTTCTATCCCAGCATTAGAAGTTCAGGATGAACACCAGGTGTCCGATTATCTGCTCTTGCAAATTATGTTTATTAGTTTTAAATACGACCATTAGTCTTTGCGAACACGTTTTATTTATTTTACCTATTTAGATATTTATTATCTTGCAAGTCATGCTCGTCCCGGGTTTGCTGCTAAAAGTATGAATATATTGGGTATTATAAAGTTAATGCTACCATTATCAATGTATTTGGGGAGTATTGAGTTAACCGTTACCCCACTTTACTTGGGTAATTTGCCTTGATCGTACATTTTGGTGATTCGAAAGTAACTTTTATTTTGGCCCTATTAGTAGTCAGTTTCGACTACTTAATTCGACTTAACTAAAGCATACCAGATACACAGGCTATTTTACGTAGTCATACGAAATGCAGACAGGCTCATGCTCAAGTTATGAATAAAAATTGTGGCATTGAATAGTTTTTTACACTTTTCCCAGTTAATTAGTCCCTATATTAATTCTCTTAGTGTTAATATTCCTTTACTTGAGGCTTGTGCTCGTTCTCGAATGGATGGCTATCTTGCTTTGAAGCAACAGTTGCCTGAACTGGAACGTGATAGTGACCCGGCGCCACGATATCGGTCGTCCGCTTCTGCTGGCGCCAAACAGCCGAGCCTATCGCACCAGATTCAACCTCAAGCCGAACTAGCTGAAAAGCCATAATAGATATCTGGCAAGCTCGGATAACCTTTATACTCTGTCTTGTTGCTTTTTTTCTCATCTACTTGTGCACCTTTGCATATCCACATGATTGCCTTGAACAATATCATACATAATTTCAGAAGAGGGAATATTGTAAACCGTTCATTTTTTTGTGAAACAATTGTCGCTCAAAAATTAATATCTACTTGTATCGAGCATCTATCCTTATTGCTTTACTCTTGGAGTCTGTACATATTGCTTTCCCTTCCTGATTCTGGACACAAAAGTGACGGTAAGTTATTCTTTATAAATAACATTAGGATATGTTCCATTTAATTAAGTCCATTTGGCATTATTACGATGCGCCCTTTCATGATTTTTATACTTTAACATTTTAGGTACTAGTGCACGTTAGGTCATAATGAGCATACAATTTCAACTCCCTCATCTTTTGTCCATGGCTCAATTGGCCATATTCATGATTCCCAAACCTTTTTTGGTCGTCTTTGTTAATTTTGATTGTGTTTATTTGAGTTAAGCTGTTTTAATAACTTTATTTTCTATTTATTTTCATTCATATATTATTCCATGTGAAACTTAACGGCAGATACAAACTATGCCATGCTGATTTGCCACTATGTTTTTTACTTCTTAGTATTCTTTGTGCATATCCCAGAATTCGTCTTAGGCCTTTCCATTCCTTTGTAC